GTATGTGACCAGTACTACAAAGTGTCTCGTTCAGAAGATCCACAATGAGTGGCCTTTAAGCGACATAGTCGGCAACATTACCCAACATTCAAGATAAGTCACCCGACTAGTCTCTAGTTCATTCTCTCTTCTTTCTTTCTTTCTTTGGCCAGTATGCCATCTTTGATTGTATCAAAACTTTTACTTTGAAAACCTACCACAAAGCATACTAAGCAATTCTACGCCTTTGTAAATGAAATCATCTTCAAGGATGGTAAACAATTAACAAGGTAGGCAATGCATCAAATAGGTAACATTTGAATTAATCAACTTAATGCAATAAGTAACATAGGTGATAAACTTCTCAAAGTAAACAAGTTAATGGTTTAATGCATAAACCGGGGCTTGCCTTCGTTGACGATCTCTGGTTCCGGATCAGTACCACAATTATCGAATCCCGTGACAACTGGGGATTCTTCCACAACTTGCTCAACTAGAATCGTTTCACTCTCAGATTCTACACGAAATAATAACATATGCTTTAATATGATGATAATGTAAACATGATGCTTTAATGGTACATGAAATGTAATCACACCTTGAATACAACTTTCCTTCGTGATATAGTTGTAAGTCAACAAAACTACTTGACACTAACATCTAGGGTTTATAACCTAAGCGACTTGACCAAATTGATCTTAAAACCCTACTGGCCACACAACATGACCCAAACAAGATCAAACCCTAACCCTAACAATTAGGGTTTGCTTTTATTCAATTTTGAATTAATTTAGAAATAAGCTCAAAAATAAACTTGTTCCAAATGACCTCAAAATTTTATGTAAGCTTCCTCATAACAAATTAGTCTACCAAAAAAAATTAATTTTCGGAGCTATACAGTGACCTACAAAAATTATGGAAATTGCATTTATCAATTAATTGACTGAATTTTTGAACATTAAAAATTTATTCAAATTTCAAGTTTCAAATTTCTTAACCATAATAGAACATGTACAGAAGCTACACACAAATTTTTAGAATTTTTGGAGCTATGATTATTTTCCTACAAATTTCCAAAGATTCAGCACTATTCAAAATCAGAAAATATGAAAGTACACTATTCTCTCTCTCTCTCACTGACAGCCGGCCCCCACATGTCATCCCTATCCTCTGTCATTGACCGTGGCATCGACGGTGCTGACCGGTGCTAACTCGCCGCCGGTGAGCCCAACAGCGATGGACAAAGTACCAACACGTTCACAAGAACTAGGCGCATCGATCTGTGGTACTTTGGAGGTTGATTACGACATGGAACAAGGCTGACGCTGGCCATGGCGGACGCGGTGGCACGGCAGCGTTACGCCGGCGAAACAAGGCCGGTAACGGTGAAACAGAGAGTTCAGGAAGCATCAGTGGCTCACCCCGAATGTGTTGAAGCAACGAGCGAGACCGGAGGAGCTATGGTGACGCGTTTTGACGGTGACCGGGATCACGGCGGAGCGGACCTCATCGACGACGGCGTTACGGCGACTGCAGTGGGCAAAACGAGCAGGCAAGAGTGGAATAAGTACTACAGCATCGAGACGAAGCCGTAGAGTCAACAAGAAAGGGCAACAGCTCACCGGACGATGCTGGCCACGGTGAATCAGAGTTTCTATTGAGGTCGCCGGCCGCGAGAAAGATGAACGTGGACAGCGAGCTCTCGACGAAATCAAGCGATGGCAACAGCTCAGTCGGATGCGTAAGGAGCAGGCGGAACTAGGACATGGCTTTTCTGGGGCTATCTTGAGCTAGGGAGACGAGAGAAGCTCGCCGGAGTTGAGATGGCGGCGTCGGGAAAACAGAGGGAAAGAAAGAAAAGCCAACGACGACGTCTGGGTCTTATAGCTCGGCTAGGAGCGCGCGGAATCGACATGCAGTGTGCTCCCCGCGCCAGCGCGAAGCCAAGGGCGGTCGCAGACGCGCCTGGAAGACCGGAGAAAGGACGCTGGCGGTGGGGGGTGGTGCCCTGTTTCCAACTTGATTTTTGAAGTATTTACATATTTGCCATTGAGTTCATTTTACAAATTACTCCCAATTTTTCTAAAGAAGTTGAAAATCTCCAAAAATGAAAGTTGCTCAACTTTTCAAACTCTACAACTTTGCTTCAAGGCACATTTTCAAATTCTGCCCCCATTTTGAAATTTGAATTTGGGGTGCATTTGAGTATTTGAATCATTTCAAAATTACTCCAAATTTTATATGTAAACTTAAAAAACTTTGAATACCAAAGTTGATCCTTATTAACTAAGCTTCAACTTTGCTTTGTGTCACAACCCCAAATTCCAAATGTATTTTAAAATAGACAAAAGGGGCAAAAAGGACCTTTATAATTGGAATTTGAATTCAAATTTGATTTGTTTGCCTTTTGACTTAACTTTGATTTTTGACCAGTAACATGGCCCATTAGGGTTATTTGAGTCAATTAACACATGGTCTCACATGATCACATGAATTTTTACTCTTGTGGTCATGATCTTTATTTAGGGTTTTGAATCACATCACATAAAATAATAACATTATGAAATAAAGCTTATTTAGTGAATGCATTCAACATTTTCTACTTTATGAATGCTTTGCAATGCATATGATGACATGTCAAATTTTTAATGATAGGTCAAAACACCAGAGGTGTTACAATTGCTTGAGGGATTGCATCTAGAGGCACTTGGCATTCGTGTTGCCCTACGGATTTCGCTTGTTTCTCTTGGTGGTTGCCACCACCTAGACGGCTTGGAGCAGCGGTGGAGGATTGGCACGAGTTGGTGATTGTTCGTGGCCATTCCTGGTGATTGTAAGGGGAGTTTTACCTTCCCCAGCGGAGTGCCGAAAGGTAACTCTAGTAAATTGCTCGTGTCATTGAGTTACCTCACTTGTGGGTCGGTTCTTGCGGTGTCCTATCGTGTGGACGAGGTTTGTGAAACACCTCTTAGCCGCCGAACCACCAAGTGTTGGTCGACACAACGGGGACGTAGCGTGTTGGCAAGCACGTGAACCTCGGGAGAAAATCGAGTGTCTCTTGTCTTTGGCATTCTCCGGTGATTGGATATATATTCATCTTGTGATTGGTTCATCCCCTATACGGCGGTATAATCACCCTACTCACTTATTTACTTTCTTGCAAACTAGTTGATACAAGCTCTTTAGTGTAATTAGAATTGAGAGCTTGCTTCATTATTTACATTCATCTAGTTGAGCTCTTTAGAGTAGCAAGATTGAGAGCTCTTAGTGAGTAGTTACATAGCAAGTTTGTGTGCCTAAGTAATCATTGCAACTAGAATTGTTGGATAGGTGGCTTGCAACCCTTGTAGAGCTAGAGCAAGTTTGCATTACGCCATTTGTCATACTAATCAAATTGCTCTACTTTATTTGTAGTTTTCAAATAGGCTATTCACCCCCCTCTAGCCATATTAGGACCTTTCATCCGTCTCGCCCGACCCCAAGGACGCGGTTTCCGTCTCATCTAGGGATGAAAGCGGTCGGGAACAGTCGGGAAAACACTCTAGCCATTCCCGCTACTGTATTTTTTATGCGGGAACGGGAACGGTAACGGGAAGGCCGGTCGGGAAAGCGAAATCGGAAATACGGGATGTTGGAAACAATACATTTTGAAAGGGAAAAAGTCGATAACGATCGGGAATCGGTAATCCAAATCGGGAACGTCGACGCACATAACCACTTCAACCATTCAACTTAACACCAAGGTTACAACCATGTATAATACATAGGCAAATTGTACCGTTGGTAAGTATATAACACTACAAATAAGTCCACCAATTTATGAACACTAGTGACTGTTATGTTTGTGTTGCACATATTCATGCATGAGTAAGTGACCTATGATTTTTTACGTGGCATATGCTAATAAAACAACAGCAGTGAGTCAACTTTTTAATTGTCATGAAATACTTCAAAAAACTAAATGAGAGACTTGTAAAGAAAAAGGGAAAGTGCACATGCATACTTCAGCTTATCTACGAGTTCAACGAAAAAGCAGAAGTGGCTGGTTGCGTCCATCACATCCAATAGGGATTCTTGCAGCATCAAATCATTTAGCATATGCTGTAGGCACAGCAAAAAAAATAAAAAAAAAGGAAAATGCACATGCATACGCATGGCCTTAGCGGCGTGGGCAGCGCGCTCAACAGGCAGGCGCTCAGGTCGCTTTACCTTGGTAACGGCCCAGCGCGCACAGCAGCAGCAAGCACCACTACACCACTACGTGAAAAATGGTTTGTAGCAACGGGACAATTTTTTTAGGAGCGGCCGGTGATGGAGCCGCCCCTACAGTGACGTGCTCGGGATCCACGAGACCAGTCGCCCCTACAAATAGAACAGCAGGGACGGCTGGTGATACGAGCCGCCCCTACAAATAGGTAGAATTTGTAGGGGCGGCTCACTCACCAGCCGCCCCCGGTGTTTCTATTTGTAGGGGCGGCCGATGATCGAGCCGCTCCTACAAATGCCCCACGTACAGTAACTAGGTCACCCATCCAAAATATCTGCTGCCCTCTCTCTCTCTCTCTCCGTCTCGATGTCCGCCCGTCCCTCCCTCTCCTCGCCCGCCCGCGCGGCGCACCCTCCCTCCCTCTCCCACGCCGCACCCTCCCTCTCCTCCGAGCCCCTCCGTCTCTCCCCCATGTCGCCCCCCTCCCCCCACGTGGTGACGGGACCTCCCTCTCCAGCGGAGGCGCACGGCGTCGCACCCCCCTCTTCTCCGCACGGTGGCACTCGGCGGCGCACCCTAGGGTGGCGGGGGTTCTGGGGCGCGGCCTCTTAGTGGTCGCGCGGGGCTCGGTGCCCTCCTCCTGCGCCGGCGGCGCGCGAGACCCTGTCCCCTCCCCCAGCGGAGGCACGGTGGCGGAGCTTGGTGCCGTGGCTCGGTGGTGCGGCCTCCCGTCGACAGTCGAGCGGGGGCCCGTCCCCCTCCTCCTGCGCCGGCGGCGCGTGGGACCCTGTCCCCTCCCCCCAGCGGAGGCACGATGGCGGAGCTCGGTGCCGTGGCTCGGTGGCGCGGCCTCCCGTCGAGCTCCAGCGGTGGCAGGACTTGGTGGCACGGTCCCCTTCACCTTCTCTCCTCCGGGGCGCTGCTGGAGGCCGCATGAAGCACATGGTGCCGGCCACCACCAGATCCGGCGAGGATGAGCTCGATCCGGCGAGGACCAGCCCAGATCCGAGTGGCCACCACCAGATCCGGCGAGGACGAGCCTGGATCTAGCAAGCGGGTGCGGCGGCGAGGATCCGCTGCTGCGACGAGAGCTGCTGGAGGTGGGGAGCGGCCTTGATGGCTTGGACTCCGCCGCTGGCGCCGTGTTCCCCGTGGACACCAATGAGGCCGTGTCGGTGTGGGTGGAGAAGGAGATGGACCACCAACCTCAAGAGGGCTATGCGGAGAGGCTAGAGCGAGAGGCGGATTGGAGTCCTCTTGGAGGAGAGACGCCATGGATTGGATTTGCAAGGTGAAATAAAAAAATCTCTTGAATTTATTGGTTCTTGCATTTCATTCCTTTTTTCTAGTGGACAAAATCGAGTTATTTTAGGAAGGTAGTTGCATTTCATTGATTTTACGGCTGTGCTCTCTAAACTTAGTACAATTGGTTCTTGCATTTCATTAATTTTACGGTTGTGCTCTCTAAACTTAGTACACTGGCGTATAGGTATTTGCAGCTTCAAAGTTGTGTTATATTTGCAACAAGTTTAGTAGGCCGTGAATTTTGTTGCTCCATTCTTTCAACGGACACGGTCTTGTTGCGAAGTTTGATAAGAAGCTAAAGTTATGTGTTGTCTTCAGGGTAATTAATATAGAGGTGAATCGGTTTGATGCACTTCTTGAGTACGTATTTCATGAAGTTTTCTGGTCCCATGTTCATGGTTGAAGGCAAAGGAGAAGCAAAAAGCAGTGTACGACAAATATGGAAACTCAAGTTCTAACAACTACCAAGTCGAAGTTCCCATTTAATGGTTCAGTTGTGTATCATGATTAATCGATTGTAAAGTGCAAATAAAATATCTTCACTTGTGTTCTAGTATTATACAATAGACGAATAACAATGGAATGGTGGTATTTGAGTGCCCATATGCGGAATCGTCGTTAATTCGGCTGTGTGGCATCCCAATTCCCAAGGCTAGCATTGCATATTGAGAAAAATTATGTACTTCCACTATAGTGTAGTCTAGGGAAAGGCGGCCATGCTAAAAGAAAAAAAAATGATGCCAAAACAATTCTGTATTCCCTCTGTACTCCAGGGCAGGGAAATGCAAGAACCAATTGTTAAAATTTCTAATGGACCACCACTCAGTTTTTACCTTGCTGTGAATTACCTGGATAGATTCCTCTCCTTGTATGAGCTCCCAGTAAGAATCTGAGCATGTACATTGGTTGTCTGCTTGCTGTGTCCAGTTAATCTCTAACTAATGGATGTGTTTTTTTTTCCTATTTTGTTTGTTCTTGTTGTTGTAGCACGATAACCCTTGGATGCAACAGTTGTTGTCAGTTGCTTGCCTATCTCTTGCTGCCAAGATGGAGGAGACTGTGGTCCCTCTTCCTGTGGACCTTCAGGTGGGTGAAGGAGAAATTACAGCATTGTGGTATCGAATAATTGTTCACTGATTGGTTGATGAAATTGTTAAAATTTGATGCTGCATGATAGGTCTGCGATGTGAAATTTGAGTTTGAAGGAAAGACTATTGGGAGGATGGAGGGTCTTGTGATGAAAACCCTGAAATGGAGAATGCAGGCTGTGACCCCGTTCACTTTCATCATCTACTTCCTGGACAAGTTCAGTGATGGGAAGCCACCGAGTTTTGCACTAGCCTCACGGTGCGCCGAGATCATAATTGGCACACTCAAAGGTTCGATTGACCTTACCCATGATGCTTCATCGTCTGTTCAATTCACTTACCTGCATTGCCGATAGCACTATGTTTGTGTGTACCAGCTAAACATCTGTATCCTATGGATTTACAGGCTCTACATTCTTGTCATTCAGACCATCTGAGATTGCTGCGGCCTCGGCCCTAGCAGCGGTTTCTGAGAATCAGATTGCTGGCTTTGCGAGTGTTCTTTCAGCATCTGAAGTCCCTGTAAATAAGGTGAGTGTCTTTTAGCTTGCGCAAAAACTGATCAATGTAACATTGCCATTTACACAATTTCTCAAAGTGTGAAGCTTGCATCTTCCATTTCCAGGAGATGATTGCTAGATGCTATGAGCTGTTGCAAGAGCAGACGCTGGTGAAGAAGAGAAGGCACATCAATGGAAGCCCTTCAGTGCCAGAAAGCCCGATTGGTGTGCTGGATGCAACATGCTTCAGCTTTAGGAGTGAAGATGCAACACCGTCACAATCAAACAACATCAGTAGTAGTAACAATCTAATTCTTTGCATTGTTGTTTAGCTGTTAACATCTTTAGCTATCTAGGCAGCATGATAGCATTTTATGGTCAGTCGGACCAATACTCATGTTGTAGAGTTTCTCATCTAACAAGTCAACATTAAGTAATATGTTCATTATAGTTGGACCAATACTCATGTTGTAGAGATTTGAGTTTTAGTACAATCGCAGAAGAAGATAAGTCATGATGGAGTTGTGCATGAAAAATATATGTTCCGGTCGAATTTGAATTGTAAATTTAATTTTTTTTTTGCGGAAAAATGTACTGTAGGGGTGGTTGGTAATACCAGCCGCCCCTACAAATTGATTTGCAGGGGCGGCTGATAACACCAGCCGCCCCTACAAATCGATTTGTAAGGGCGGTCTGGGAACCGTTCCTATAAATGCATGATTTGTAGAGACGGTATGATAGGAGCGGTTGGCTGAGCCGCCTCTACAAACGATCTTTAGCCGCCCCTACAAATGATTATTGTAGTAGTGCACCAGTACACCAGGCGCACACTGAAGTTTAATACCACCTCGCGGAGCCAGCTGGGGAGGGGGGAGCCGGGGCTTTTCATAATTGGACTCCCGGCCTCCAGAGAGCCACATGAGCGCTCCTTGGTCTGTGACAGGAGCTGAAGTAATAATACAAAATAAAATTTATACGGGAATTAAACGGGGAAAACAGGAATTTTCCCGTTAAAACAGAATCCGTGAATTCGGTCGGGAAACAAGCCCAACCGATTTTGTTCCCGGTTCCTGCCAAATTTTCCTATTTTTTGCCAGATTTATTCGGTTACCAACAATCTGGTATCCGATCGGGATAATACGACATTCGGTGCCTGTCGAGACAGGAAATTTCCTGTCCTATTTTCATCGCTAGTCTCATCTGACGGGGACCCATACTGTCGCCAACCACTTCAGGTTCAAGTATATAGGTCTGGGTCAAAACTCTGACACCAGGGAAGAGATTGACATGTCTCGAGATAACCTGTGGCTATGACGGGCCATACCGGGGATTCACATCAAGAACAGTGTCGGGCGTGCCGGTGCTGTCCTGCCTAACCCTTGTACGGACGCTGACAGGAGCGTCAGTTCACCACGACGTCCGCCGGGACGGAGTGGAACGCCATGACCAGCAGACGACGCCTGCGCATGGCGCCAGTGATGAACAGAGCCGCGACGTGGAGCCGTCCCTGTTAACATCTACAGGATAGGCGGGATCCGCATGAAGAAGAAGACTGGCGATCCTGGAAGCCTTCTTCTCTCTCGTTCTTCTCCTTTTCCTCCGTTGTAACCGCGCTTTCCCTTTGCTTATAAAATGGAAAGCAAGGCGCCCCATGAAAAAGGATGAATTCGGAACACAAGAGCACGACACGAGAACACGGCTGAGCCGCAAGCGAGCTCTCAGCACCCGTTCACTCCTTCCATCAGAGACTTGGGATCATCTTCCTCTCTCGCCTGTTTGTAACCCCTACTGCAAACCAAGTGTTGGTAACACGAGTAGCAGCGAACTGGACGTAGGGATGTTCCGCCCGAAACAGTATAAACCCTTGTGTCCTCCAAGCACACTATCCGAGCCAGACACGTAAATACAAATTTACTCGTCCGTGGTCTGAAAACACCGACACTTATATACCATTTACACTTGTTAAGTCCAACTACACAGACACTTAAAAATATTCAATTAGACATATATGGCACCTAAACATATTATGTACGGGCAGTTAAACACCATTGCAACAATCGGACTATTTGTTATGTACTTAAAGAGCTCTCTATGTACTCACCGAAAAGCTCCGGTGGTAGCACCAGAGCTTACCACAGGCCACAGGAGATCCCAATGGCTAGTTCAAACTAGCCATTAACTAGCCAAAGCTTTGGTGAGCTCTTCTTCAGTGCCACCGGCGAAATTCAGTGACCTCTAGCGCCGTTTTCAAAGGAAAATACCCTCTTTGGAGTGAAGGTCCGGAGAACCCTCCAAATTAGTGACCCCACCGGAGGTTCCCGTTGCGCTCAAGAGAGTTCTGCGAAAGGTTTTGGACCCACCGGAACCCTCTATTCCAGTGACCCGCTTCGAAAAACTCCCGCGTGCACAGAACGCAACCATATGTCAGCCCAATGCTCCGATGGCATTGGAAGAATAGGTTAGGGCCACGTTTAGTTCCTCCAATTTTCTGAATTTGGCACTAAGCAAAAAGAAGATTCCTCGTCACATCAAATTTACGGTACATGTATGAACTACTAAATATAGACAAAATTAAAAACTAATTACACAGTTTGATTGTACTTTGCGAGACGAACGTTTTGAGCCTAATTAGTCAATGTTTGGACAATTATTACCAAATACAAACGAAAATACTACAGTGCGCTACAGTGCAGCTGGAGATCCAGCGGCGCCAACTTTGGCCGTAACTAAACGCGCCCTAGCACTGAATAATTTCACTGTTTTCGGCCTGGCACCCTAAGCTCCGGTGTCAATTCCAGTGATCGGCCTATAGTTATACATGGACGATCAGACCAACCCAATGGGCACCTTTACTCTCTCATGCCCCTCGTCAGAGAGTTCTAGTGGGTGTAAAAACACCACACCCAAGGTCTTTTCTCAAATCTTTTTCAAAAGGGCTAACTCTAGGGGTTGTTTGGATCCTTTTATTTCGGAGGAATTGGAATCCACTAAATAGATTAGTTTATTTGGCTTGAAATTTGAGATTCCATAACTTACCAAAGTTCACATATAAGCCTACCTAAAATTTATAGGGTAGGAGATAGAAATTGATTTTATAGATCATGCTATGTTTCTACTCTTCTACTTATAGCATGCTCTTCAACTCACTTCCCTATAATAGAAATACAACATATAAACATTTCTCTTGCATGGCTAACAATTGTATATAAATATAATTCATATACAACAATATTAGCTTAATTAATATGTGCATAAATTATAATTTATTAGAATGAATTCAATTCCAAGATCCAAATGGGGCCTAAATGAATTCCCACGGGAACACTAAGGTGTGTTTTGTTATTTTCATAGTCCTCAATCATATATCTTGTATGAGTGGATGCAGGCTGAGTGGATGCAATCATATGAAAAGAAAAGTGTTGGGTTGGTTGCATGAGTGGATGCCCTGCGCCTGCCGCCGCAGCTGGAGCGTGCCTGCGCCGGGGGTGCCGCACCGTCGCCATCGCCGCCGGGTCAGGGCCCGCACACGCCTGGGGGGCCATGCCAGGCCACCGTGCCGGGACCCTGCCATGCCGCCGCCCCTGGGTTGCACACGATGGGGGCGGCCCTAGCCCCCCGAGAGAGAGGGAGAGGAAGGGGAGGCGGTCAAGAGAGAGAGAGAGAGAGAGAGAGAGAGAGGGGGGGGTGTGTGCTGTGCACAGGAGCCGGATATATATTTGATGTTGAGTAGAAACGGAAGCAACAGAAGCCACAAGAATATGCTCCGGATAAAAGCGGATTCAAGCAATAGGAGCCGTAGGATCACAGATCGGACGGTCAATAAGAATCAGCTTGACATGGAGCTCCTGCGGTTCTCTTGTTTTTAAATTTAAATAAATTTGGAGTATTTAGTGTGCCGAATTGAATTCTCGCTAGAGTGGCTCTAACAAGTTCGTTCTGATTACAGATCTTTACAACCTGGTCTGTCTCGATCAGCTTTTAAAAACAGGCCTTGTTCAACAAAGGCCCATTAGAGTGGATTAGGATAGAAAATTTTCAATTCAACACGAGTGCATGCAATAAGCCCTAGGTGGAATATAATAACCAGAACACGGATAAATGCATACATTCATTCAAGACATAATAACTAGTTATAACACATCACGGCTTAACCGATAGAACACAACGGAGCACAGACTAGCAAACATGTCTAACGAGTCTCATCTCAGGATTCTATGATTATGACTGTATGTAATAATGAAAGTTCGACAGGCTACCCACTGTTCCAAAAACAGCACCAGGGAACCGTATCCGTATGCAAACACAACTCAGGACATCATGTCATGGGGCGACATTCTTAAGAACTCAGCAATAATAACAGAAAGTAAGTATCTCTCGGCTCCTTCCTGGACACGTACAAAGGACGAGTAAGCGTGACCGTACCCGAGTGCAGCTTCAGACCTCTGCTGCCTTCGGAGAATTCTCGGGCGTCTTCAGCGGCACGTCAGGTACCTTGCTTGTCTTGTGAGACTCCACCGCATCCTTGAAGTCCTCCCTGGTGGCTGTGTCCTTGAACTTCAGAGCAAATGTGGCAAGGCTGCTCGGTGACTCCCCAATGCTGTTCATGCAGGCAAATGTCACGCCCTTCTTGTCCATGTCCTTGAGTGACATGTCGTTGTAGAGGCTTGCATTCAGGACCAGCCGGTAGTTGCCTTTTGTCCTCATGACGAGCCGGGCTCTCTCACCGCCAGATACAGGAACGTTCAGCTTCAGTTCACCTTTTCCTCTTTCTTTCCAGCCCCCATCTAGGTACTCATACAAAGCAGAATCAGCAGTAAATACAGCCTTCTCATTTTCTTCACCGGTTTCAACAGGGCCCTCGGTCATAGCAAATTTCTTGGGTGCATCTGCTGAAGTAGCAAGCGCTGTGGCAGAACTCCCATTGTTAGCAGCACCAAGATTAAAAGAAGGGAACGAAGAACCATCAGCTTTCAGCCCAAATAGGGGACCAGCACTTGAGCCATCTTTAGAGGCTGAGCCAAACGAGAATGATGTGCTTGAAAATCCAGTTCCGGTCAGACCTGTGAAAGCATTTTGACCACTTGACAGATTCTTAAACGAGAAAAGGGGTGTCGCTGATGATGCCTGCCCTTTGTTATCAGCGTCTTTCTGCTCTGATTCACCAACATCTTTCTTCTCAGTATCATCCTTGCCAATTTTATCAGCATCTATCTGCTCATCAGACAGGCCATCCTTGGTCTCTGATTCACCTCCATCTTTCTTCTCAGTATCATCCTTGCTAATTTTATCGTTATTTCCAGCTTCATCTGCCCCTTCCTTTTCTTCAGCATCTCCCTCTTTTGTTTTGCCCTCAACTTCAGATGGCATGCAGCTACCTTCGTTGGGTTCTCCAACTACCACTTTATCTCCACCAGATTCATCCTTTGTGTCTTCTGCCTTGTCACTGGTTTCAACAGGTTGAGGTGGTGCTTCATTTGTGGCACCGGAGTCGGTATTTACACCAGAGCCTGCATTCTTGTCTGGCACAGACGAAGTATCTTTCCCATTACCATTACTTCCCTCATCAGCTTCGACATCTGAAGGTTGGGCCTCTGGGACAGGGGCACTTGTTTGAGCACCAGAATCAGTGGGGGCAAATCTGATTGCAGAGAAAGGATTAGAAGAAGGAGCTGATGAAGTCTGCTGGCGCCGAACCTTTACAATTCTCCGGGTTGCCATAACTTCTTCAGTAGCTTTCTTAAATGTACCCATCTCTGGCTCTGGTCCATCATCATCAGGCTCAGGATTATCCTTGTTGATTCGGGTACCTGCAACCCTCTTCCTAGAGCTTGGGGCTTGTTCCTCATCTGCCATCTTCCAAGTTGATAGCACGTGACATTCAAACAAAAGAACAAACTTAGAAACAGTAAAAAGAAATAGTCCCATGAGCCAACAAAAAATAATAACAGGTGGGGTGCCACAATTCAGAAATATAAAATGTAGAGTTATTAAATCTAAAGATAAGGATAAGGTTTATATTAGAGTGATAGCTCAAACTGCTTCCTAGTGACACAAACAGCCAAAAAATAGTCCAGGAATTTACATGTTAACATGGTATCTTGGCAATCCATCAAACTATCAACAAAGAAGAAAAAGAAACCTCGCAAGGCCTTCCTCTATATACAATAGAAACAAAGAAGTACCAATGACGAACAAGCAGCACACATGGTGCAAGTGCAAGAGACTCCATCTAAGCCAAAATAGGAATGTTTTTTTCAACTTATCTGACATCAATAACCACACAATTTGTAATCTAAAGAAAGAAATAATATGTTGCTTGACAGTGTATCAGATGTTAAGTTCTGTGCAAAGTGCAAAAGGGAAATATCATCTTGGCAGAACATTGCCAAAAGAAAACTTGAATGTTATCCATATAAACTATCTCACCCAAAAATGGCATTAAACTATCTCAGCCAAATGTTAAAACATGACAATCATATCATGTGTTTTGGACCAAATGGCATGGAACATGCATCTATATTAAGCCAAAATAAACACAGATTTTTTTAAAATCTTCATCTGGTGTCAATAACCAAACAAAATTTTATGATGAATCAAGGAAAAATATATTGCTTAACATAATACATCAGATAATAAGTTCCATCTAGCTGCAAAAATAATATCATATTGGCACAACACTGACAAACCCTGGGCGTGGACAAACACCTTCCCAAACAGTTCAATAAGTTTCGAATATGATGAAATGATGTGCAAGCTAACCTGACATCTAAAACACCAAATATACATATAGGCCATGTTTTGAATGGCTTAAACTTATAGAGAGGTAGCTTATGGCTAGCTGTCCACAAAAGCTTCTTTTTGGAGAAGCGTAAAAAGCGGCGCGTTTTGTGTGTGGCTCTATTTTTCCAGCTTCTTCCAATCTAGAAGAGAGAGCAAGCAGCAGGGCTCCTCCTGCTTAGTGGAACCGGCCGACCGCTGACTGGGAGGCAAAGGCCAAGGGTGTGCGTAGATGTCGGGTGGCTCACGTGGTGGTTGAGGCCAACACATTGATCCAAAGGCGCTTGTCAGTGGGATGGCACTCGGTGGGGAGGCAATCAACGAGGAGGCAGCCAGCGGGGTGGGGCAGCAGCAGCACTCATCGACGGAGAGGACACTCAGCAGGAGGAACTCGTCACAATGGAGGCAGGCTTCTAGGAGGCACTCAGGGTGAGGAGACGCTCGAGGACGGCGAGAGAAGGCCAAGATAAGCTCCTCACAGGCTGCTTAACAAGTAAACCGGTCACAGTTGTTTTGTGGGAAGCGCTTTGCCAGGAAGCTGCCTAGAAGTTTCATTTGGCTGCTCCACTGTTTCTCTTTTTTGGTGAAAAGCAGTTCCAAACAGGACCATACTACATAGTGCAACTCAGCCAAAGAATCATGTTTAAAATTCCATTCATGTAAACAATATACTGACAAAATGCCCCTGATTTGACTTCTATTCCACTTTCTATATGTAATAACATAACAACATGAGTAGCAATTAGCCAGAGAAAAAGTACTTTTAATGATTACAAACATGATGAGGTAAGTGATAGAAGAAAAAAAATATCAATTGTGACTCTGTAGACTGTTTGATAGATTCCATTTCTGTAGATGATTTGTTGGATTGTCAAGATAGCATGTTAACATATACGGCCTGTTCGGCAGGCCTGAATTGGCTGGCTGGTGCTGGGGCTGGACCAGCCAGCCCAGCCAGCCAATTCCAGCCGCCAGCCATTCCCAGCAGCTGGAAAACGGCTGATTTCACAATTTCAAATTCAAACTGATTATTGGCGCCAACAGGTGGTTTTCATATAATGGCGCCAAACCACAATGCACATAAGGTACCAACATTTAGGTATCAACAGAATAATCTTCACCACACATGTATTACTGCACAACTAGATAGCAGCTTTTCTCCCCTGAGATGCCAACTCTGGCTCCTACTGTATGTACAAATGTACTGATCTTAACAACAGTATTCAATCTGCAATCAATTCCTAGGATGTCATAAGGTACTGTGGAAATCAATGAGATGTTTGCAGTTTGTTTGTTTTTTAAAAATAAAATAAAAAAGGAGTGTTGAAATGTTTGTTGTCAACTGACCAAAATCCAGCCAACAGGTCTTAGCTACAGAGAGTTTGGATAACAAGCCTATGAATCCAAAGTGCATATGTATATCATATATCAATCAATCTTAGCATTTCATCCAATCATCTCAGGCAATACATGATAAGAACAAACAACAAGCAATCAAGGTCCATATAACCTATGCAAGCATTGTCATACACAAAGCTATATTTAAGCACTACCAAGTAAAAATCAGTGACAACAACAACAAAGCCTTTAAGTCCCAAACAAGTTGGGGTAGGCTAGAGTTGAAACCCATCAAAAGCAATCAAGGTTCAGGCACGTGAATAGCTGTCTTCCAAGCACTCCTATCTAAGGCTAAGAATTTGGGTATATTCCATCCTTTCAAGTCTCCTTTTATTGCCTCTACCCAAGTCAATTTCGGTCTTCCTCTGCCTCTCTTCACGTTACTATCCTGGCTTAGGATTCCACTACACACCGGTGCCTCTGGGGGTCTCCGTTGCACATGTCCAAACCATCTCAACCGGTGTTGGACAAGCTTTTCTTCAATTGGCGCTACCCCTAATCTATCACGTATATCACCGTTCCGAACTCGATCCCTTCTTGTATGACCGCAAATCCAACGCAACATACGCATTTCCGCGACACTTAGCTGTTGAACATGTCGTCTTTTCGTAGGCCAACATTCTGCACCATACAACATAGCAGGTCTAATCGTCGTCCTATAAAACTTGCCTTTTAGCTTCTGTGGTACCCTTTTGTCACATAGGACACCAGACGCTTGCCGCCACTTCATCCACCCTGCTTTGATTCTATGGCTAACATCTTCATCGATGTCCCCGTCCCTCTGTAGCATTGATCCTAAATATCGAAAGGTATCCTTCCTAGGCACTACTTGACCTTCCAAACTAACATCTTCCTCCTCCCGAGTAGTGGTGCCGAAGTCACATCTCATATACTCAGTTTTAGTTCTGCTGAGTCTAAAACCTTTGGACTCCAAAGTCTCCCGCCATAACTCCAGTTTCTAATTCACTCCTGTCCGACTTTCATCCACTAGCACTACATCGTCCGCGAAAAGCATACACCAAGGGATGTCCCCTTGTATGTCCCTTGTGACCTCATCCATCACTAAAGCAAACAAATAAGGGCTCAAAGCTGACCCTTGATGTAGTCCTATCCTAATCGGGAAGTCATCCGTGTCTCCATCACTTGTTCGAACTCTAGTCACAACATTGTTGTACATGTCCTTAATGAGCCCGACGTACTTCGTTGGGACTTTATGTTTGTCCAAAGTCCACCACATAACATTCCTTGGTATTTTATCATAAGCCTTCTCCAAGTCAATAAAAACCATGTGTAGGTCCTTCTTCTTCTTCCTATACCGCTCCATAACTTGTCTTATTAAGAAAATGGCTTCCATGGTTGATCTTCCGTGCATGAAACCAAATTGGTTCACAGAGACCCGCGTTATTGCTCTCAAGCGATGCTCGATAACTCTCTCCCATAGCTTCATAGTATGGCTCATCAACTTAATTCCCCGATAATTAGTACAACTTTGAATATCCCCTTTATTCTTGTAGATCGGTACCAATATACTTGTAAATCAGTGACAACATGAGGGAAATTTTTTTGCCAGGCATCACGAACCTACTGGGGGATGCGGGAACCGACCGTCGTCCTGACAGTCTTTCAACACCGCCATGTCATGACATGCCCCTGCCTTCCTGGCCCCCACGTATGTGAAACGGCCATCCATATCCACGATGGCACAAACATTAATTGTTGTTTCACCTTTTCTATTGAAGAAATCAACCTTTGCTTCACGGTTAACCTCAACCTTTATGTGCGTGCCATCTATAGCACATATGCATCCATCAAACCATGGTGCATATGTAGCAAGTTTCTGGCTTACGCGTGCGTACTTCCTATCTGCGGGCACTAGGACAGTCTTTGCCCACCTATACATGACCTCTGCAACTGCTGTTAACTTTCTGCTAACTGTATCTAAAGACCTTTCAAACCTATGTTTGCACTCTCTACTGGCAGATTGGTGGGCACAGGTCCAGATGTACATGCCTAAAGCTTCTACCGAGGTACACTTATTTGTTGATGGCAGGCCGAAAGGAAGCAGGGTGTCATGCAAATGCATGAAGGCATCACGCATCAGGCGCAAATTGTCTATACATTTGGTTTGGTCGGCAAGGGTAAGCTGCATCCATTGGGCTCCAGATAGTTTAGGATTGGGACAAGGAGGATTTACCTCAGGCATTTGCTGCGACATAATACTTTTCAACCTCCGCAACACGACTACTGCCTTCGCGGCGAAGATCACAGTGCTAAGTCCATCACTAGAAGTGTCGCTGTACGACGACTCGTCAGTGCTGCTCATTGTGCTACCTGCAAATGGGCACACATCAGTAAGATGATGCATATATTGGGAACAAAACATTTGCTAATAAGCGAACATGTCAAGTTACATGAACTAGGTAGTTGGCACGACCACCTTAGACAAATTTATGTAAGGAATGAACAACAGAAAAGTGATCCATGCATAAGGTCTTACAACGCTCACAGCATGACACATATATTTTATTCAAAACACGAGATAACGACATGCACTTAGTTCTCCGCAACGGTCTTTATTAAAACAAACAAAACGAACATAACGAAACAATGAACAGAATCAACTCAACATGCACATGGTGGAAAACAAAAATAGTAGAAAAAACCGCAGTACGAACAATAGTGCTGATCACTGGGACTTTGTGGAGCACACGAAGTCCCACGACACATTGACCTAGTTCAGCCGACCCTCTTTAGTTTCCAAATTAAGAAAAGCCCGACGACGGAGCCTGTTGTTGCAAAGTTTAAGGGTTTGCGCGAATACTACATCAGTCTCGCTGTAACCATCTTGCTTCAGAATCTGATGGACTTGGGACAACTCCTCAGCATCTGTGGCCTGACGGGACTTCTGGGACCTAGCCTCCCTGATAATGTGGCTCAGGTCTTCAAGGCAGTCGTCAATGGATGGAGTCTTGCTACTCTTCTTACTACGAGGACTGTTAATAGAATGTTCCCTATGGACTCTCTTCGAGGGCTGAGCACCACAACGCGGTAGGACCGGCTCGTCCGACAAGGCTGAAGGAGTGCGAGGGCTTCCACTACTGAGTGTCTTGTCAAGTTGATACCAACTCGCCCCTGTCACGTGGGGTGCGTCCCAAAATCATGATCAGTTGCTCACAGCATTGGGGGCGTCTGAACTTCTCACGAGCGGGTTGGCTACTTTCCTGCACGTGTTTCAGTGATGGTGAAGTTAGTACTGAGTTAGTGGGAACCTAATTGCTAAAAAATAGTCAAGGAAATGCGTGTAGTTAGTACCCCAGGGCTGGCGCCGTACCACTCGGGGTCAGCTGTAACCTCTCCAGTAAGTGGGTCACGGCCTAGCCCAGTATGGGTCTGACCGTCGCGCCAATTGAAATACAAACGTTTCAGCTCGTTGTACTTGTTCTGGCACTTTTTCTTGTTGTACCCGAGCCTCGTGACTTCATTGAAGCCACGAACGACATTGGTCCACCCTAGTGAGGTTGGCGAAGTGGCGTTCCAGTGACAGAGGTCTTTTTGCTTGTTGATTAGGTCAAAAGAAGCAGAGAGCAGGTTCTGTCATCCTAGCTAGCACGTTCCTGGCTTATCTGATGCAAGGATCGACATTCGAAAGGGATTATGTACATGGATGCATATCTTATGTCATACGGAGGGTAGTTCCAATACGCAAAGATGAGAGTGGGCGACGGAAAAGAGAACTTGCCCTTCCGAACCGCTTGTGGCGTTTTGAGCAGTGGTTGTAATGCTTGCCAGCAGGTGGAGAGCAAGACGAAGTCGACGACGCTGCCAGTTTGGGCAGCGTTGATAACCAGCGGATGAACAACAACAACAACAAAGCCTACTTGTAAGATGTTCAATTAAGCAGTGTTGACGCAGCTTATAAAGTTATAGTAGCCTACAGAATGGGTGCAGTTGAAGGATACAAGCTAAATGGGTTATACTGACAAAACTATAATGCATGCACATGGCAGAGAAACCAATAGCCCCTGCTATTAGTGCAAGAAGGGTCACCAAGAATAACTACGATAACAGATAACTTCTCATATTGCATACTATGAACACGCATTTGCAGGCATACAAACATGTGAGATCACCAGGATTGCATGCATGTATTCATGTGAAACCCCTAGTACCAACAAATCAACAGGTAATGGACAAACCCCTAGTACCAACAAATCAACACCTCTTAGTGGCTGAAAACTCTCCATTCTAGGTACACTACAAACACACGGGTACTCAAGTAAAAACAACCTGGAATCTGAAGTAATAGATGAAGCATTTGAAGCCAAAACATAACACTGGAACCCGTAACCTATCATAAAGAATTGAACATCCAACTAGAAATGGCTAGGCTAAAGCCCCGTTTGTCAGTGATTCCCGATTCCAGCATCACTCCAAGAGCACAGATAGTAAGCGGAATCAACATCCTAACCTGAATTAATACCTTGGGTACCAATACCAAGGTCAAGCATTTCAGTGTAAACAAAAGCACTGTAAGTAATTCCTAGCCTATGATCAAAAAGCAAATAGCGAATTTGGAAATGATGGGCTAAACCCTAGCACCCCCAAGTGCAAGCGCCCCAAACGGATCTTGCCACAAATCCTATCCGATCAGTAAAGCTAGCTCTATAAAAGACTAGTTGCATGACCTCAAAATTGACAGTAGCCAGCTCCAGAAGTGAGTGCCAGATCCGGGGGTACCTTGCTGGAGCCAGTCGATGTAGACGGGCCCCTGCAAGGAGGACGGCGGCTCGGAAACACCTGGAAGGAGCAGACGTCGACCGGGTCCTGGCGGTGATGAGGGGTGCGGCGCGGGGGTAAACCTACAAGACGAGGCAGTGGGGCTTAGATCCGGCCGGGTGAGACTGCGGTGGCGTGGGATCCGGGGGGTTACCGTGCTGGAGGGAGTCGCCGTTGATGGAGGCGGGGTCGGGGAGGGAGGCGGAGAGCACTGTCACCGAGGCCCGGCGAGAGTGCGGGGAAACCCTAGCCGCGCGGGGGTCAACCTACAAGACGACGAGCTGGGGCTCAGAGGCGGCCGGGTGAGAGGACGGCGGCGTGGGATCCGGGGGTTACCTTGCTGGACGAAGGCGCCATCGATGGAGGCAGGGTCGGGGAAGGAGGCGGAGGTCACTGTCACCGCAGGCCCGACGAGGAGGACGGCGTAGAGAGGCGGGCGCGGACGGAACCGGTGGCCACCGACGCGGCCAGGAGACGCGGCGTTGACGACCGCCGAGAATCGGGCGCTGAGACGTGGATGAGTGGCGAGAGTGCGGGGAAACTCTAGCCGCGCGGGTGAAGGGGAAAAGAGGACGCAGGGAGTGGCTTGCAATGCCCAGCCGTCGCTTATCTCCAGCCGTTCGGCTGGGGCTGGGCTGCCGAACGGCTGGGCTGATAAGCCCCAGCACATTCAGCCCAGCAAGGCCTGCCGAACAGGCTGATAAATGCCTAAATTGCTTTTCTGCTGTATATGTGTCACTAAAAAGCAGTTTGAGCTATATGGGTTAGGCTTAGAGCTGCCATTTTTGTTGTCTGAACCACCTTTATGAGAGCTACTGATCGAATCGGTGACCATAATTGGAGCTGGGGGACGATAAGGCCGCGACTAATCGCGATTAGTCGAACGACTTAATAACAATGTGAACAGTACTAAAAAATCTCAGAAAAACTGCTAGAACACTTTACTGTAAGCTTTCAGAATATTCAGATACATAATGAAGAAAAATGATGCAAAAATTATTGTAAGCTACTTTTAAAAAGGAAAATAATAAACAAACAAATGCGCAAATGGCGCCAGATCGATTGCAGATGAAACATCAGAAGCAAACGCACTGAAGTACCCCAAACCCTTATTGTAAATGAGTAGACAGATCACATCAGTTTCATCATAGACTGGAATTAGCTAGAAGTTGAAATAGTAGCCATCTACTGGCACTGAGGTAAACAACACACAGCATAGTTCAGTTCATATTTCAAACCCCGACCATCCAGAATACTGCTCCTACACTAAGGACACGTCGATCGATCTGCTCCTACTTGTCAAAAAGAATGTCACATCTCTAATAGCTATATAATCTGTAGTAACTGGAAGAAAACAAGATCCAAAGCCATACCTGAAAATCACGGAGGGCGGAGTAGGGCCTCGCCTCGCACCGCACCGTTCGGTAGAGGGGAGTAGGGCGGCGGGATAGGGGCGGGGACTTCCGGCTTGAGTGGGGGCGGCGCGCCACGGGGAGGGGAGTGGGGGCGGCGGCGATGGGAGTGCGGGTGTTTCGGTTAACCAATGTTGAGCTGGACCGCATGAGTATTTTTTTTTCTATTTTTACTTTTCTTTTATTTTATTATTCTTTTATTTTCTTTTTCCTTATTCTTTTATTTTATATTTATTTTTTATTATTATTATTTTCTTCTTTCTTCTCTTCTATTTACTTTCTTCTCTATTTATGTAGAGTTTTTCACTTTGTTTTTCATTTTCTATTTTTATTTTACTCTAATTTTGATTTAATCATTTTCATGTTTTAACTTTTTTTTTCAGTTTTTTCATTTCATATGTTACATGAGATACATATCGGTCCCGTTCGGATGATATTGTTCTGGAGGAATTTGGATGGTTTGAAGGAATTTGTGAGAGGAAAACACTATTCTGGATGAAAAAAGAAGCGGATCAAAGCCGGGTTCAAGGACACGCGAACAGGACCATCATGATTGTGTAGTATGCATGTGGATTTTTTTTCAATTTTCCTTTTCTCTTCCTTATTTAAGTTATTTATTTTATATATACTTAGCATATATTATTCATGTTTTTATTTTTATTTTCTTCTTTGTTATTTTAATTTAAATTATTAGTTTAATAATTCATTTTTTTACTTTGTTATTTTTTAAATTTAATGTGATATATGTGATGTTCATATTATAATGTGATGTTTGATATTTTTTTATGATATATTTAGATAGTATACATGTGACGTTCTATGATGTATTTTATTAGGGTTATATAGAGTGTGTTTGGTTACCTGGGCTAGCCTAGCTTGGCTTAAAATTTAAGCCAGGCTAGTTCAAGCCTGACTCCAGCAACACACAGCCTGTTCGGTTGGCTGGTTCGTTTCGTTGCTGGTTCGTGAAGAAGTACTGTTGACTGGTTTATGTGAGAGAAAAATACTATTTGGACTAAAAATTTACGATCGTTTATGATAAGCCACAGGCAGACAATCTGTCGTTGTTTGGTTCACCTGTATAAGCTAAACCTGGCTAGCAAATCCGTTGTTTGGGTGCCTGACCAGTAAGCATGTACAGCATAAAGCAAGAGGACGTCGGCGAGCCTCCTCTTCTTCTTCCCGGCAAGTGGCGGCCTCCTATTCTTAGCGAGCGGCGACGACAGCGTGGGCTCCCGCGACAGCGGCGCGGGCTCCTGAGATCCAGCCGGTGGAATCTCCTCTGCGAGATCCAGTCGGGCGGAATCTCCTCCGCAAGCTCCTCCGAGAGATCCGCGCGCGGCCGTGCGCCGCTGCTTGCGTGGGCCGGTGGCGCAACCGAGGCTGTGCTGGGCGGAGCGTGGTGGCCGATGTACTCTCCACTTCCTCACGCGTGGTGGCTGGAGCTCAGGGAGATGGCCGGTAGACCCTCCCCTTCCTCGCGCGTGGTGTCCGGAGCGAGGCAGGGCTGACGGCGATGGTCGTAGCTAAGAGAGATGGACGCGGCGGAGTTGACGGCGACGGACGGAGCTGAGGTCGCCGCTGCCTTCTCTCCCCTTCTAGTTGCTTCCGGCGGCGACGGTGAGGAGCACTGATACGTGGGCCACATGCTTGTACAAGCCAGGCTTACCTGAAACGCAGGGGTTCATCTCCAGCAATACAGCCTTTCTTTCCTTTTGGGCTTCCACAAGCGTGGCTAGGGGTTGCGTAGGCAATCAAACAGCTTAAAGCTGCATTATAGAAGCCTAGCTAGGCTCTAAGCCAGGTAATCAAATATACCCATAGTATATATGTGATGATCACTTAGTATACATGTTATGTTTTATAATGTATTTTATGTATTTTATTAGTATTCATGTGATGTTCTTTTAATTTTCTGCTATTATGTGGTCTTTTATTTTTATTCATTTTCCTTATGCTTTGTTCTATCTTTATTATTTTTCTTCTATTTATGTTATATTATTATTTATCTATTTCTATATATGCTATAACTCTTGTTATTCATCTTTTCTATATTGTCATGGATATGATAATACCACTTGCTAGAATGTTTGTATTCTAAATATGAAACATAGTTGTTCCGAACTTAGAACATTTGTTTCATGAAGGCGGAAAATCTTATCTTGAGATCTAGAACATTGCCTCTTCTTAATAAAAGAAATAATATTCAATCTTCATCTATATCAATATCTAATAATAAAGAGGCAGTCTAGCCCATTCATTGTAGCCTAACCGTCGGCCCACTCGTTCGCGTCCGCTCGCCTTAGCCCAAGTTGAGTCGTTGCTCAGCATCTAGATAAAAAGAAATTCGAGTTTCTCAACAAAAAGAGAAATTCGTATCCCTCGGGAAAAAAATCACTCCCCTACCCGTGCCGCCACTAATTGTTTCCCGCGCCGTCGATGCATGGGAAACAAGGCAGATACCCAAAAGAGCCAAATGTCCTATCTATTTTTTTTTTACCCAGAGGTGAGACAAGCTCGAGCAAAGGATCAAAACACGTCCTTAGTGATCATCATGTGTGTTAAGTGGTGGTCAGAGTCTAGCTTTACCCATTTTGACTAAAAAAATGGAATCATAAATAATTATTAACTACGTCATGAGTTTAAAGTAGGAAGAGACCATAAACTTCAATCGTACAGGGAACCTTGCTACCGCTGATAGTTTTTTTTTTCTGCAATTACAATTCATTTATGAGTTCTGACCAATCTCTACAACTAAATTCTCTATCTCTACAACTAAAATATTCATAACTATTCCGTCCACAGGTGCGATACCAAAGCCGCTCCATGCAATCAAATCAGGAAGACAACACGCACTCGCTCTATGCGATCAAATCAGGAAGGCAACACGCACTCGCTCCATACGATCAACTCAATCCCCATAACAGCCGCAACAAATCAAGAAAGCAAAAAATCACTTTCCTGCGATAGACTTTTTTATGCCACAATCATCGCTTCGGGTCATCGGTCTACACTAAAAAATTACTAACGTTATCGTTGGATGAGGAAGTTGATCGCTTTGCCCAGCTTAATTAATCTGGCTTCCACGTCGCCCGGCTGCCGCATGTCCCCGTAGTCTGTTGGCTGTTCCGTCTTTCCACGTATACGTATAGGCGCATGTTAGTCGCTAGCTCGTTTGCCGTGGAGAGGAGTTTGAGCCGTGGATCACGTATACACAGGGGACACGCGGCAGCCACGTACAGGCTGTCGTATGGGAGCACAGTGCGACGCCGTCGCATATACGAAAAAAATATACAGCAAAAAAAAATGGTTCCAAAACAAACACTTCCACGGGCAAAAAAAAAGTGTTTCAGAAAAAAAAAACTCTTCCACGTCGTTCACACGGCCAGAAAAAATGCGTTTCCCAAAAAAGAAAAAACATTTCCAAGAAAAAACTATATGGCAAAAAACAAACCCTTTCCTGAAACAAAAAAAAGAAAAAGAAAAAACAAAACCAAAATGTTTTCAAAATAAAATCTTCCACATCGTCCGCGCCTGGAATAAAACGTCTAAAAACACGCTTCTGAAAAAAAATATACAACAAGAAAAACTCTTTTCCAAAACAAACTCGCCAAAAAATAAAGTTGCTGAACAAACTCTTCCACATCGATATAAATGACTGATTACAGACCGATGGAACTGATCAGGCACGTATTCAAATAGAGAAATTCAGCAAGAGCTTCACTGACGAAAACAAAGCAGATCACGCATATATTCAAACACAGGAAAACTTTGCTGACACTGACGAAACAGATCACACACATATTGAAAAAAGAGTAATTTGGACACCAGACCCTCCCGCCGCCGACGACTCAAAGGCACAATCAAGTTCACTGTCCTCAGTAATTCTACAGTTCGGCCGTGCTCGTCATTCAATAAAGGTATTCAACCAAAAAAATATAGCCCCTGTGCAACGCACGAGCATTTATCTAGTAATTCTAATGTCTAAAACTACTATAGTTGGGTTAGGGCATGTACAACCCACAGACAGGGTGCTGTATGTATGATGATGTCACATGACAAACAGACGGCTAAATAGATAGCTTTTACAGTGGGTTGTCTTTTTGGCTGTCTATTGTTTATCTAATGCTTGCATGTAGTTAAGATCGAGTGTGAATATTAGTGGTGTAAACCATTCTGATGCTTATTGATACAAAATAGATCAAACGAAAAATAATAAGATGATCATGGTTACAACATTTTTTTGGAAGCATCAATATATATAGTATATTTATATATTATAATATAATATGATGGATTCTTTTTGAACCTATGTAAGGTCTTCGTATATTATTTTATTTTTTATACAAATGAGATGTTCAGTGACAAAGTTGCATTCATTCATAAGCAATACAGTGCATATACAACATGCCTCGCACACTCGATCCAGCCACGAAGTCGCTCGCTACCATCGGCTGGTACAGCGGTAGACGAAGCCGTCGATTTGCCTGGGAGCACGAGACGGGTCGTGAGACGACGGACACGCTCTCTCTCTCCACATTGAATACGTCGTATGGAGGGTGTATCTGCAAAAACAGCGTTATACAGACGCCCTTCCGCAGCGCTTTGTAGTGCCCTTATGGAATAGAGGTTGACCACAGTAAATGCTTTTACATTGTAGCTAGTCATGGCCAATTTAAGGAGCCTATAAAGGAGGGAATGACAATAAGAAGGGTGTGAATCGGTGCTCTATTTTTTTCTAATCGTGATAGATCTTGGCCTATCGAAACTATCATTTCCCATTAGCGGTTCTTATTCAAAGGACTAAGATTCATACCATGTAGGGCCATCATGCTAAACATATTCTTAGCAAAGAGCACACTGATATATTGTAGATTTAAACAAGCCAAATAATTTTAAATTTATTTGAAACAACATACAATTATTGTCTATTGATTAATCTAATTATACTTATTTGGTATTATAAATGTTTGGATGTTTTAGATCTAAATAAATAAAAACTATTTGCCTTCTGAAAAAAAGAGATTCATATTTTTTTTAGAATAGAGGGCATCGTTGCCTGCCCTCCAGAACCTTCGCTTAACCTTCCCTTGTTGTTCCCAACAAATATAGCCTTGGTTAAAAAATAAAACAACTCAGAAAAATCCCAGCTGACAAGGAAAACCCAGCGGACGGCGTTCACACCGTCACCGCGTGAACACGAGCCGCCCCCACGTCACATCCCCACCGCCCCCACCCACCGACTTGCGGGCCTCGCGTGAACCCCTGCCCCACCCCCAGCCATACGGGCTGCAACCGCCCTTCTAGAAGCCGCCACGTCACCACGCGGTCGCCTGACGCAGGAACGGAAGCAGAACAGACGCCTGAATTAAGCTGCTTCACAACTAAGCAATTCATTTATTTATTTACAAAATAAAATAAAATAAAATAAAATAAAAGTCATTCGAACCGTTGAATTCGCCGCGAGTTTCCTACCTATAAAACGACCCCGATTCTCCCCCCGACTTTTCCTCGTCACAAACGCGTCCTCGAAATCAAATCCCCCCGAGAAAAAACCCAGAATCCCCGACGAACCGAACCTAAAATCTCCCAATCCCTCCTCGATCCAGCGAGCCATGGCCGATTCCACCACCAACGACGCCCCGGTCGCCACCAACCAACCCACGACGGAGGTAAGCGGCGCTCCTTCTCGATTCGATTTGCCCGAGGGGTTTGGCGTGGATTCTCATGGCGCTTGTCTGATTTGGTTTGGTTAGGAGGAAGTGACGGTGGAGAGGGCTGCGGCGGCGGCGGAGGAGGAGGAGAGGCTGCGGTACCTCGAGTTCGTGCAGCAGGCGGCGGCGCAGGCGCTGGTGCTGGCGGCCGCGGCCTACGCGTACGCCAAGCAGGGCGCGGGCCCGCTCCGCCCCGGCGTTGACCATGTCGAGGGCACCGTGAAGGCCGTCGTCGGCCCGGTGTACGACCGGTTCCACGCCGTCCCGCTTGACCTCCTCAAGTTCATCGACCGCAAGGTAAAGAGGAGGGTCTCTAGTCTGATTTGGTTTTCCTCTTCGTATGTTGAAATTGTGCTACAAATTAGACTTGAGTTCGATGAAATGAAATTCGCAGGCTTAGGTTGCCAGGATGGGATTTGTCAATTTTCTAGAGTTGAAATCATGTCAATTTAGCCTTGTCGTTAAGGGTTCGGATTAGTTGTTCTTGATGATATTATTATTTTTTCTCGAATACGCATGAGTGTGCATATCATTGTATTAGAAGAGAGAATTTATAATACAAGAGTTAAACTCCCGGCCGTTAGTTTTTTTTTTCTGACAATCCATGTCTATCCTGCAAATGACCTAGCCTTGCGCCAGCGCACGTAGCCCGCATGCTCCGGCCTGAATCCATCGGTCGGCTTCGTTCTTGATGATGTGCAGTAGGTCGCCGACGGACGATGTCGATTCCCGGAAACACCTTGCGCTCCGTTCTTCTTGATGATATTATTGACCTGTTGCTAGAAATATGTTCTTGTTGTCACGTATACTGTGTCTCAAAGGGTTTAATTGTAAGGAATTGGTATCATGGTAGCAAATTGGGATTTCGCAGGGCAGAAGCATGATTGATCAACCTAACAAAATGTGTTTAGCCAAGATTCGAGGCTTATTACTTGTAGAATCACAAGCACCCACTTTTGGCCAGTTTTATTAGGAACTATACTAAATTGGTGTAAACACTATTAACACACGCATAACCTCATGACAAGCCTTTTGGTGTAGTTGATTAATCAGCACGGTCCACTTTTAGCTGATTTTCAGGGATATTCATCAGCACCTTGAATTTGCGTACGTATGTAGAGTTGTCACTTGTGCCCAGGATATTTATCATTTTTCATGCACTTCTTGCAAGTCTGGACATTTCATTAGTTATTATCCCTTATATTGTATACACACAAGTCACTATGTCAATTTCTTGCACTGTTTTGACATCCGATTTGTGTTACTGAACAAAGATGGGATTGCTGATTTGCAAGTTGTCCCCCACTTGCAGGTTGGTGAGTCTGTTGAGGAGATTGACCGCCGTGTCCCTCCAGTGGTGAAGGAAGCCCCAACCCTTGCCCGCTCGGCTGCAAAGGAGGTTCGCCAGGCCGGCCTGGTGGGCACGGCCACAGGTCTTGCCAAGTCAGCCATTGGCCGCGCGGAGCCAAAGGCCCGGGAGCTCTACACCCGCTATGAGCCCGTGGCTGAGCGCCGTGCAGCTGAGGCTTGGGTGGCCCTTAACCGCCTCCCACTGGTGCCTTCAGTCACCAGGGCTGTCCTCCCCACAGCCGCACAGCTCTCAGCCAGGTACAATTCAGCGGTTCTTGACGGTGCCAAGCGCGGGAACACTGTGGCCACCTATCTCCCACTTGTGCCCACTGAGCGGCTCGCCCGGGTGTTCGCGTACCCCATGGCTGACGTTGCCCCAGCACGAGAGATGCAGCCTATCCCCTCCCAGTAGAAGATGAAATGGAATGGAAACTACATAATCAATTATATCAAGTATAAACTGAGATGTGTAGCAAGTATTACTGTGTTATGTCTTTGTGTATCCTATGGTGAACTAGAGCTCGCATGCGTGGTTTAGTGTGGTGGCATTGCTTGTTCCAACTTGCAATGAGCCTACACAAGTTTATCTTTGTTCTATGGATAATGATGTGTACATTAATGGGTATCTGTTAGAATTCTATAGCAATATTGATGTTTGTGCTTTGTCATCAGTATTCAGATCTGGCTCTGACATTAGGGGTGCACTTGGTCTAAAAAAGTGTTTCTGCAATTTGAGTACCCAATGTGTATGTGCCTGGCTGTTGGTGTTGTAACCTAGGACTGTCCGAGGCTGACCAAATGAAAAGCTTGTTTGGTTGGGTACAGGTTCCAAAACCAGCTTAGCAAAAACCACGGCATGCTAAAATCATGGCTAGCCAAAATTAGGGCTGACCAAAATGAGGGCAAAAAATCGAGGCAAAAAAGTCAAGGCATATTTGGTTTAGTGCCAAAATATGATAGCCAATATCTTTTTCCCTCTTGAGCTTTAAAAAGTTTTAGAAACTTACCGTGTGTTTTTTTGGTACTAAATCAATTGATAGCCAAATTTCTAGGTATGCTCTGATTTTGGCGCAATTTTGGGTGAGCAAATTTTGGAACCCAACCAGGCAGCCCAAAATGTGTAGGAAGTTTTCGCCGCTGTATAATTGAATTGTGGACACCAATTGATAGCCAAAAATTCTAGGTATGCTCTGTTTGGCTTGGTAAATTTTGGAACCCAACCAAGCAGCCCAAAATGCGTAGGAAGTTTTCGACACTGTATAATTGAATTGTGGACATTCACCTATGACTTGGTCTAGACATATCAGCTAAACACAAATTTGCTCGTCTTTTTTAGATGCACGTACACCAAACCATTCACATGGAAATTTCTTATTACACTGAACATTCTGATCAGAGGAGCACGTCCGTAATCCAACACCAGAAGGATGGAGATCAGGCTTTGCGCTAGATCTAAACACAGAATGTACACTTTGAAGAACAACCATAGAACTCATAATAATAGAACAGATCAATCTTATTATGTGAAGATCATAGTCCTAGCTGAAGAATCTGTATGGAATCAAATGTTCTCATTTAGCAGACTTTGTACCATAGCTAGGATTTCCAAAAGAAGATGGCATTGATTTCATGGCAAATAAAAGGAATACGGCGAGAATTCAGTTTGGCTGAAACATGTAAAACATAAAGTAACAATAATATAAAACATATAAAATCAGCATAAGTAAGTTCTATGAAGTGTAATACAAACAAATAAATTAGAATGCGGTGGAGACGAAAAAGTCTTTTGTCCAAGATGGTTGTTGGTGCTTGTAGCTAGTAATTTTGCTCTGTTGTCACTACAACCCATGATACAACCTGGGATGGTTAGGATTGGAACTGACTGCATTCTTAACAGCATCCATGCGGGGTGCTCGGGCTCATAGTTTGCATTTATAAAGTAACCAAGGTCACATCTTACGATAGCAAGACGAGGGAGATGCTGGATGCCGAAATCAAATTCTCCATTGGTGAGAGACCCGGTTTTATCTCTGCTGAACTCGAGATTGAGCTCTTGTAGCTTCGGCATGGCCCCAGCTTCGAACAACCACCCAAACCCACAGTTAATCGAACCAACTCGGAACATTCTCAAGCTAGGAAATCCATGTGCGCCACTGATCTTAACCCGTTGTGCTTCTTGAGAAGAGGATAATCTGTCGGCTACTTCAATCATTACCCAGAGACAGAGGCTCGACAGAGCGCTTAAGCGCCCGAGCAAACCAACATCTGCAGGCCCAAGTTGGTCAACATTGAGCCCCAAATGCTGCAGGTTATCAAGTGAGCCGATCCATCTAGGGATCCTCGGGAGCTGAATACCCAATATTTCAAGTCGTTTGAGGCTGATGGGGGTGGGGTTCCATGGCTCCATCACGAAGTTCATGGACTCTTCGTTGGTTCCTGCAGTCAAAGAATTTAGGCTTCCTGTACCAAGTATACACAGAGATGAGGCCAAATCTTTGGTAAACACATCTGTCCACACCCTCAGTATCCGTAAATTTCTTAGCTGACAGAGCTCCTGCATGAAGTTAGGTATCTGACTCCATACTGTGATGTCTTGCAACCTCTGCAAGGCTTGCATGTTCATGAATCCATCTGGCAAATGCACACCAAAACTAGAAAAATTGATTGACCAACCATGCAAGGCGAAGAATACTTGATGGAAGCTTCTTTATATGAGTAACTCTTAAATCCAGTGTTTGTAAATACTCAGCTCTCCAATTTCTTCAGGAAGCTCATTTATCCATGTTTGACGCAAGCTCAAGTACCTCAGTGCAAATAAACCGCAAAGGTGTGCCAGACGGTGGGGCTTGTAGTCCCTCACAGCCTTCTAAATCCAAAGCACACAAATGCTTCAACTTCTGCAAAGACGGGAGGCTATTAAGAGACTGTCTGGAAACACTGAAACTGCACGGGCATGAGAACATATATCAGATTCACCCGGATCGGTTTTTGGTAGAGTAGTCCCACTTCCTAGAATCGACACCTGGATCCAGAAGGTGTTGACTGTTGAGGAGGGTGCACGGTGCACCGCACGACAGCCTCCCGCACAGTCCGTGAGCGCGGATGGATGATGGCTGTGGCCTGTGGCACGGAGCCACGGACAATCGCCGCACGGGGCAGAGGAGATGGGGGCCAAGTGCCAAGAAAGCCATGAAATCATCGTGGTACAAATTACACGCCGAGGTCAATCTAATTCAAAATGCAAGTGTCAATTTTGCCGGATGAAATAATCTTGTGCTTTTCTTTATTGGAATGGAATCCTTGTCAATTTATTTGGCTGCCGCTATTGTTGTGGGTCTCTACTTATTAGGCGGCCCGTTCTCGATGATACGATGAATTTGACCGCCGCGTCCGTGCGGTGCTCATCAAGGGAGCCCCGCATGTACCTGCCGAGGATCGTGACCAACATCCGTGCTCGTTAGACGTGGCAGCAGACGGCGTGATCGAGATGGTGGACTACAACAAGTGCACGCAGCATTTTGTTGAAACTTCACAACACGTACACTCGTCAATGCTGGACGGACGGGGTGCATCCACTGCTGGAAACAGAGACTTTGCCGAGTACAAAATTCTTTGTCGAGTGTTAAAAATCAGGCACTCAGCAAAGACCTTCTTTGCCGAGCGCTGCACTCGGCAAAAAATTGCACTAGGTAAAGATTTCTTTGCCGAGTGCCGGGCCCTCGGCAAACACGGGCACTCGGCAAAGGACTTATTTGCCGAGTGCCAGACTCTCGGCAAAATCTCTACACTCGGCATAGGTTGCCCGCGAAACGACGTTCGGTCACGGCCTTCTTTGCCGAGCGCTTGCTGTTAGGCACTCGGCAAAGATTTGATTTTTTTTAAATTCTTTGCCGAGTGCTCCAGATCTGGCACTCGGCAAAGATTTAATTTTTTTAAAAAATTCTTTGCCGAGCGTCTCAGATCTGGCGCTCGGCAAAGATTTTTTTTTAAAAAAAATACTTTGCCGAGTGCCCCTAGGACAGCACTCGGCAACGATTTAATTTTTTTATTATTATTTCTTTGCCGAGTACTCCTGTGGATGCACTCGGCAAAGAGGGAATTTAAAAAAAAATTAAAACACTCTTCTTAGAAAGTGCCTTATGGTCAAGACTCGGCAAAGAAGACACCCTTGCTTGCCAGTGCCATGCCCCTGTACTCTCGGCAAAGTTTTTATTTTTTGTTTTTTTTTCAATTTTTGTGCGGCCCTTTTAAAGCACTTCTAGTTACAATTTTTTTTGTGGCTTTTGATATATTTAGTTACTTTTAAGCACTTGAAACTTCTAAATTTGACAATTTGATAATGGAGTTTAATGATTGATTGATAGCTTTTAGTGATATATTGAGAGTAGTAGTTAGAATGGACCCAAAATTTCGACAATTTCACTTGAACATGTTCTGAGAAAATTAGAAGTGTTTTTAAATTCTATAAAAAAGCAAACGAAGTCCAAAATCATGAATATTTCTGACATTGCATATCATATGTGGTAGAGATTTCAAAATATCCGATATTCGATGTTAGCATCGACGTGACATCATGCACGTAAATCTTCTTCAAATTTTTATCATAGCCTCCACATATGATATCCCGACATCTCAATAAGTTTCATGATTTTTGAACTTCGTTTGCTTTTTATACAATTTAAAAACATTTCACACGCAATTGAGACATGTTTCGTGAACAAGATGTCCAAATTTCGGGTCCATTCCCGGATACGTTATCACAACATCACTCACTAACATGACTATCAATTTTCAATAATTAAACTCCATTATTCGCATTTCTATGTGCGCTTCAAATTTCTAATTTCCGAAAAATTCAAGTAAACGAAATAAAGTAACTAAATATATCAAAAAGCCACGAAAAATCTCCAAATTGTAACTAGGAGTTCCTGGTGCTTTAAAAGGGCTGCACAAAAAAATTAGAGGCCAACAACAAAAAAAACTTTGGCGAAAAGCCGGGCATGGCACTTAGCAAAGGGTGTCTTTGCTGAGTGCCAGCAGTAAGACACTCGGAAAAGAGTGTTTTATTTTTTTTAAAAAAACTTTCCACTTTGCCGAGTGCATGCATAGGAGCACTCGGCAAATAAATAATAAAAAATCTTTGCCGAAAGTGCCGTCCTAGGGGCACTTTCGGCAAAGTATTTTTTTGTGGGTCTTTGCCGAAAGGTCGATCCGAGGCGCTCGGCAAAGAATTAAAAAATTAAATCTTTCCCGAGTGCGGATCCGGGGCACTTTCGGCAAAGAATTTTTTTAAAAATCAAATCTTTGCCGAAAGTGCCTCCCCGATCCGCACTTTCAATGCTTCCTGGGCGGGACTTAGTCATTTTGGGCACGGCGGTCAGAGCTACCACCCACGCCCCATGCCCACTCACC